CTGCTCATATTAGGATCACCACTCAAATCAACATTTTTTCATGCACTTCATTAGGCGAAGAGGCTTGGTTGGGTATTTCGGATGAGTGGGGTGTTTGGATGGAATGTTCAATTGGAGAGGACTGTGGGAGTAATGTACATTCAGGTTGCTGAGGTGCTTGGTAGAAATCAGTACTATTCGGAGTGGACGTTACGGTGGGATGGTGTGCCAGGCTTTTGGAGGATAATGACTGTTGAAGGAGTTCTGAGGGAGGGATCTGTGTAAGGTATGATGGATATATTGAAGTAGATGGATGTTGTGGTAGTTGTGTAACAGTAGGACATGATGAGGATTGCAATTGTTGGAGTCTTGGAAGACAATTAGAGGAGGTCGATGAAGAAGACAGCCGCAGTTGATGCTCAGTGGGACGATCTTGCTGCATCTGTTGCACGGTAGTGACAGATGGTAGTGATTTTTGGTGATGTCATCTGAGGAAGACTTGCTGTAGGTTGAGTCTCTTGAAGCTTCGTTGAGATTTGTAGTTTCAAGGTCTTGACAAATTTCTCGTGTGTGAGACCTCTCCAAAGGACTCTTTGTGCCTTTTGACTGTAGGAGATAATGTAAACTGATGCTCCTGTTGAACGATGGAAGTTTACGATGTTTTGTGTGAAGTGTTGTGGTTCAATCAGATCTCGCACACATCCCATTGCTGAACAAATTAGTGTTTTCAGACCTTTGGACTTAAAATCTTGCTCAAGCTGACTGAAAGCTTTATCATATTGATTTTTGGAAGGCTTACCATGATATTTATCTTTTGTAATGAGGCTGTACTGATACTGTAGGACCGTTTTCTATTTTTTGGTATGCCAAATACTTGTTTAAAAGGTTGCAAGCTTGAGGTCTACCAAAACTATTCCTGAACACCAATGTACCAACACCAAGACATACACAATACAATGGATAAGCTGAGGTCATTAAAGACTGAAAGGACTCAACTAAGAGGAACTTTTTCAAAGTGCAGAAATAAAATGGACAAATTACTGGCTGCAGATATTAAAGATGAAGTAACAATTAAAAGTAATCTAAACAAGTTGCAAGATAAAGCTGAAAGGCTTTTTAAGCTAGATGAAGACATCAAGGAAGCCTTGTTTGAAAGTCCTGCAACAAAAGAAGAGGACTTAGAAGATGAGTTTGATACTACAGAATCCTACAGAGACATGTTATCTTCAATGAGAGCTAAGTATGACCATTTCATTATTCAGGTTGGCCTAAGCCAACAGTCAAGAAGTGAAGTCGGGGATACCGTTCACATCTTAAATTAGTGTCTAAGAAGGGCTTCAGTCTACCTAAATTACAATTAAACCAGTTTGATGGAGATGTAAAAAATTGGATAGGGTTTTGGGGGCAGTTTAAGAAGGTCCACGAGGATCCTGAAATCTAGAACCTGAGGATAAGCTCCAATACCTCATCCAATCTTTAAAACCAGGATCGTCCCCTAGGGAATTAGTAGAAAGTTTTCCACCATCGGGAACTAATTATGTAAAGGCCCTAGAACAATTAAAAGCAAGATTTGGTAGGGATGACTTTTTAATAGAAGTATATGTGAGAACTGCTCAGTTTAGTGCTCCAACAAGTAACGCTAGGTCCTGATACTAAACTGTGCCGACTGTATGACAAACTAGAAACACAGTTAAGGGCACTTGAAACTTTAGGAGTCACTTCAGACAAGTATGCTTCAATGCTGTATCCTCTTGTAGAATCTGCTTTGCCTGAAGAAATATTACGAGCCTGGGAGCGGCATCGTTCAAGTAGGTTACTACACATACCCTCAACTTCTACTTCGTCAGATCTAGTTTCTAGTAATTTTCTAGAAGAACTTCTTGATTTTCTAAAGGCTGAGGTGGGGAGTGAAAAGAGGCTGGCACTTGCTCGTTTGAGTTTTTAATCTGCCACTCCAGGAGACGGAACAACAGCAAATGCAGCAGCCAAAAGAAAATGTCAACTGTACATGAAACTTGTCAGAGTGAACCTATGGTAGCAGATCTATTGACAACTGGTACAGAGGGTCTTAGAAGGTTGGTGAGTAACTGCACTTATTGTTCTAAAGGAGGGCACAATGCTCAAGATTGTTCCTAATTTCAACAATTAACTTTAGATGGAAGAAAGGAGCATCTGAAAAAGAAAAATTGCTGCTTTGTGTGCTTGAAGCAAGGTCACACAGCAAAAAAGTGCAAGGTGTTTCTCAAATGTCTCTTTTGTGGTAAAAGGCATTATGGGATCATGTGGAGGGACTTATATGAAAGTAGGTCTCGATCTAAAATTGATCTTGGCAAACCAGACTTACAGCAGCAAAGTATAACATAAGCCTAAGTCAGAGGTTCTCAGTAATATTGGAAATGGTACAGGAGAAACTCTATTACAGACTCTATTAGTTCTTTATTTTGACATAGTAAACCATAATTCAGAGATCTAGGGAGCTGGGAGACAATCAGAAGAAGGGATCCTATTGGGGTGAAACAGAGAGACTCCATTGATGTGGAAGTGTGCCAACATTTTAATGAAAATGTAGCGGTGAACGTTGAAAACAGATATGAAGTCAATTTGTCATCAAGCAAAAGACTAAATACTCCCAACAAATTAAGTGACTGTGTTAGAGAAAATGTTTCAGATCCAGCAGAGTCGACAACAGTTCATCAACTGCTGCATCGCCCAGTGACAAAAGACAGTTGCTTGACTACAAAAATAAAGCCAGTGTTTGATGGGTCTACAGAGAACAAAAGAGGTAATTCTTTAAACAAATGTTTTGCAAGAGGTTCAAATTTGTTAAATTTAATTCCATCCCGTGTAATGAAATTCAGGAAGCCGTTGGATTGGAAAACCATGAAACAGAAATTTGAAATCCATCAAATAACTTGGAAGTTCAATCCTCCGAGCGTCCTATGGTGGGGAGATATGTGGAAACAACTTGTGAACAGGATGGAAACATCATCGAAGAGATAAAGATTTAAGAGAGAGTATCATGCAATGCTTGGATATATTGAAAAAAAAGGAAGAGAATTCATCTTTCTTGACTCCATGAAAATAAATTCAGAAGACAAATCAAGGAAACAGGATGTACATATTGAAGAAAAAGAAGATAATTCATCATCACCTACAGAATCAGGAAGAGGGAGGAAGATAAAATTCCCGAGGAAAATGGACTTGTAAACCCAAAAGTAACACGTAAATTGTTTTGTTTGAAAATTTGATATTGTAAAGCAAAATTCCAAGGTGGGGAGGATGTTGGAAATCGAGTTATTTTTTATAGTACAGATTCAAGATTGATCAACATCAAATATAATTATTTGTTAGGCTTTGTTTTTAATTAACAGATGTTTTATTTTAATTCATTTAAAAAATTGAGAAGAGTAATGATTTTAAGGGAACATAACAATTTTTTTACAGAGAAATGTTATAAAATATTTGTTATTTATCAGAATAAAATTAGTTCTTCATTATATAATATTGTAAAAGTTCTTTATTTATAACGAGTTCTTACAATTATTGGTGTTAAATCCGTTGGCAAATAAATATATGATTAGCCTGTCACTATTTCAAAGATCAATCTTTGTTACCCGTCACCTCCAAAAATGTACCGTATCTAAAATTTTGAAATTTTTACCACAACTGGCAGTTTTTGCCACAACCCAATTACCGGTAACTTAGTAGGCCTCAATGTAGCCTAATTGCCATGCTGAAAAATAAAAAAAACTTTAGTATTGTAGTGTGTGTAATTTACTTGTACACTATATTCATTGTAATTTTCCTAACCCATGGTGGAAGGAAAAAACATAGGTGTGCTATTCCCACATATTCTGACGTCACTCGGATTGCAAACAAAAGATCACCTGATTGTAACTGTCAAATTAGTATACGTTTTTGTTTTGATTTGGTTGTTATTGTTTTTATTATTACAAAAACAATAACAATCAAATCAAAACAAATACATACTAATTTGACAGTTACAATGGTGATCTTTTGTTTGCAATCCGAGTGACGTCAGAATATGTGGGAATAGCCACACCTATGTTTTTTCCTTCCACCATGTTCCTAACTATAGTTATGAATAAAGAAATTTAAATTTGGCTTGTCCATATATTCAGTTAATAACTTTTTTAATAGTTCCAGTTCCCACAGTAGGTATAGAGACTGAATGCCAACTTTGCATTGTATTTTATTTTCCGCTTAAATCTTTTTGGTCTCAAATCAGTCATCCTTTACGTTAATGTGTTAGGTACCCTAGGTACAGTTCTGCTGAGAATCTAGACACTTGTCAGATAAATTATGAGTTGAAGTTAATATAAATAGCTATTAAAATAGGCCATTTAGGCCTAAATCGATAGAATGTTGAACGGAAATATTTATTTTCTGTTAAATGGGTCTTTTACATTGCGTGGGCGGCATTTAGGCTAGGTTAGTTTATTTTATGAAACTCATGAAAAAAAGGATAACTTAGTACCTGCCAACGAATACAAATTTGAAGTCTTTGTACATTTATCTCAAAAAATCACACAATAATGTAAGTTTATATAAATTTATTTGTTAGTTATTTTGTTTGTTTTTATCATTCAAACAAAACCAAGCCAAAATGAACTAAACTTATCTAACATTACTTTCGCAGCACAGTGTGTAAAATCTTGAAAAACATACAATTGATACCTTATTCATATTTTGTAAAAATTATAGGCATAGGCCTATCTGATATGATTTAAATTAGTTAAAACTAATATTTGTGTTTTAAAATCTCCTCTTGAGTCCTTGGGTAAATGCCCATTTTGCCCAATTCCGGAGTTGGGCCAGGTGAAATAATAGGCTAAAAATAATAGGCTAGGCCTGATAAGCACAATGTTATTAAGAATAAGAATAACAAAGTTTATTGCCTTTGACCACGTTTTACAAGTATTATATTCATACTTTCAAAATCAACTTTACTTGCCGTAGCCTATATTTTTATAATTATTAATTTTAAACACATTTTTTAGGAAGAAGAAGTTGAGTCCAAGGATGACAACGCAAGTATATCCTCTCTTGAATCCGCTGACGAATCTGAATGCTGTGATGAGTTTACTTATTCTAAATTTTCACTATACGCTTCACTCTGGCTGATCTTGTTTTCTTTTGCTATATATTTAGAGTTTGGTGCAATTTATTTCATAGTTTCTGGTTTCTACATTATTTGGGCAAATACTAGAACAGGACCAAAAAGGAGAGGTGAAGTCAGTGCATACTCAGTGTTCAACCCTGACTGTGAAGCAATTGATGGAACATTGAAACCAGAACAGTTTGAGAGAGAAATTCGATATGGCTTTTTGTAGCTATTAAATGGCCTATATGACACATTTTTGAACATGTTATGTATTTTATGGTAAATTATATATTTTTGTTAAGGATCTCTTTATTATTTTACATAACTCAATATTTACACTCCTATAGGCCTGCCATTTCATCAAGTACAGTTGAAAGTCAAAGAATGGTATGTTCAGTCTTGCTACATATAAGTTATTTATTTAGAGAATATTGCAGTAGGACATCTTCATTGCTTTATGGAAAGCATTAAGAAACATAAGTTACATTATTTAAATACTAGACTGGAACTACCAATTCTACAGGGGTGCCCATCCCCCCTAGACTCATGACGCCCCCCCACCTCCCTAATTGAGCAACAGCCCCCCACCATAAATGAGGTACACAACAAATGAGAAACATCATTCCCCCGCCCAGCATTATTTGTTAAATTAAAAGAAGTTTTAAAAATTTTTTTTTAATATTTAAAATTCAAACCCAGTTAATCTATATAAATAAAGTTATAGCTTTGTCTGTGCATTGCTCAGAATTATACATACAGTATTTTGGGTTATTTTAACGTTTTATACATTGAAGAAGTTGAAACATGTCTTATCTCAATTTATGTCTGTCTGTCACGGCCCAGAAAGCATTTTACGCAGTCTACTCTAAAGAAAACTAGAGTACCGATTATGATTCTAATGGTTTAATTGTATTCACAGGATTGGTGAGATTGTCCTTAGCCATTAAAATATGGCCTCACTATTTTGGAAATAAAATAACGGACGATCAAAACCCCAATTTTGTGTGATTTTTCAAGTTTTTTTTCCATGTTTACTACATACGTCATTATTGAAATACTAATAATCTGTTAAGAGAGAACAAGTAATAATATATGAAATTACGAACAGCTGTTTCGATAAAGATTCCTTTTTCTAGCTGTCACTGATATGTTTAAACATAAATGTTGTTTACGAATACTGTGTAGGCCCTAACCATTTCCTATCACGTTTGTAAGCAAATCCATAACCAAGTGAGGTTATTAACCGTGTGGCTTTGCCTTACATAAAGGGTTTGATTTATCACGGGTACTAATATGTAACTGTAAATTAAATTAAATAACTAGTCATAATCCAGGTCGGGAACCGGAGATTCTGTGTGTATCAAGTTGTTCTTGAATTTTGATTACCGGGAAAAGACTGTGAATCAGTGTTGTACAGGACTGGAAAACATATCTTTCTATATAAATAAAATTTGAATTTTATAAGTCACCTCAATTTAAGGAATTTTTTTATTGCCAGAATATATAGCGTTTGTAACCTCTGCTTAACGAATGGCCAGCGTCTTTCTCTTGATATAACGACCCCCTCTCTCTCCCTTTGGAAACATCACAGCTCCTTTGATGAAAATGAAATTGAAAAAACGTTTGCGCCAACAATCGTCTGCTCCGTTTTACACTTCTGTCTGCTTTGCGCTATGTTACAACAGATTTCAGATACAACAGCTGGGGAATGATGACGATATAACGCTTAGTAAACTGTGATTGAGTGATTAGTAACCATGGTAACTTTAGTACCTAAGGCTGTGATTGGGCAATGAGTAGGCCTAAATATGACGACTTGTTGAATTTGTGTATGAATTGAAGAGAAACCTAATAAAGAACAGAAGAACAAAGGAAAAGAATAACAAGGTTGTTCTCGTTAAATTCTTTTTAAGAGTGTTTTTATTATCTCTAAATATAATTTTACACTTTTTTATTACTTATCTATCAATTCCTATGTTGTGATACAGCACCTACCGGTAGCCTATCTGTCTATCATGAGCAGTAGCTCATAACACTTTCTAATGTTTAATATTTACGTTATTTATAGCAATGCAGTATTTGGCTAGTTATTAGTTGAGTTTGAGTGAGTTATAATTTTAAACGTTGCCGTTTGTACAACTGAATCAAGATAAATGATTTGAAATGTCATTATTGCACAATAATAATGATAACTTCCTACACGAATCCTAAACATAGCTATTTTATCTAATTGAAATTCAATAATATAACTATTGTCATTAATTAATCGACTTTCTATCTGGTGACTTCGTAATATATTTTTGATTGTCGTCACGTTGAACACTGTTGCAATTAACTTTAGCCACCCCCCCATTTGAATTTTTTGCAACCCCCCCCCCCCCCCCCCAAGAATTTCAATGACGCAGTCTGTGTCACAGCCCCCCCTTGAGGGCACCCCTGAATTCTAGGAGGTGAGTTTCAGGAACTTAGTCCAAAAACCTAAATTTTAAATAAACCTTGTCTCACAAACTCCAAATTTCACCAACCCCAAAAGCAGTGCGTTTCACGAACACCAAATTTCAACAACTCCAAAAGTACAGTCTCGGCCAGAAGTGCTGCAGGGGTTACCATGGTCAGATTGCAGGCACTGCGAGTTCTTGTATTGTAGCCAAGCATCACAAAGCAACATTGTGGGTCGGTTAATGCATTGTAAAGAGTGTACAGTAGTGGTATTAACACGTTCACTACCTACTGCAATAGTACGAAATTTTTCATTAACATGGACCAGCGACGCACATATGCGATGGCCGGTTTCCACCCATAGACTGCCGTCGCATATATGCGACGGCTAGTCACATTTAAGTAGACTGCCGTCGCATATTTGCGTCTGGGTTCTAATGTTATTCAAATGCTTATATCTTTGTAACGGTCTGTAACAATGTAACAATGTCTGTACAATGTAAATGATCGCTGTTTTACAGGTTTTCGCCCGTGGTTTGTGTGTACTGTGTAAGATTAAAATGTATACCTCGGTCTGTGGTAATGACCGCAGCGTCGCATATATGCGACGCCCAGTATCGAACGTGTTAAATACCCCTGCCGCAATAAACCTACAGACTAAGCGAATTTCCATTTAGCTGGATAGATTTCCACTAAAATATTCCCTTAAATTGTCAGATTTATTTCCTATTATTTAAATAACATTAGTTTTAATGAGTACTTAGGTTTGCTGCTACAGGGAAGGTATTGAGGTTGAATTTTTAATTGAAATATTTATAGCTTAGTATTTTTAAGCTCTACAAAATGACTGGAAAAGAAATTGTGAAATTTTGTGTTTTAAGTGTCAAAAATAGGAAAAACCGATTTTTACCCTATAAAATCCCCCATAAACCCCTGTTTCCATAGTCCGATCATGCTGTTTTGCAATCTCATTAAAATAAACGTAGGTTTACACGTTTTACCAAATTTGATCAAAATCGGATAATTTTTGCTCGAGTCATCGCGCTAACGGACACAAAAAAAAAAAAAAAAATAAAACCCTCTGTTATTGTTGTAAGTTTAGATACCATTATTATTTATTGTATTTGTATATTGTATCAACAGTGAATAGACTCTGCCAGTAACAACATTGTAAAATTTCATGTACCTAAAGATTTCCTCGCACATGCGTGTGCACAAGAGGATGTGAAATATTTAGCATGATGTTGCATGAAATAAAGGTTTTTGAATTGAATTGAATTGAATTGAACACACATATATGAATTTGAACGGAGGGTGTTTTTGGCCTCTGGGGACCTCAAAACAAAAAAAATAAATCGTTCCCGGGTCTAGGTCTTACCATAAGACCTACGGTAATAGCTATTCCCTATATGGGAAATTCGCTAAAACCAACTTCCCAATGTACTACAGTAGACTCCCTCTTATTCGGACTCCACGGGACCGAGGCCACGGACTCCACGGGACCGAGGCCAGTCCATATAATGGGATTTCCGTTTAAACCGACGTCCGCGAAAACACATTAAAACATCGTTGTTTACTGTGGTATTTGACTTAAATTTAGGAGAGCATTGTATTTAGACACGTGATCATTGGTCTCAAATCTTTCCCACGAGAACAGTTGTATCAGTACTGCCCACTTCCTGCCGATCTAATCCAGTTACACCAATGTGCTGATAAAAATTGTCCGGTTAAAGAGATGTCATTTCCGCCGAGTGTTGTCTGGTTAAACCGAGGTCCGGTTAAAAGGTGTCCGGATAAGAAGGAGTCTACTGTATATATATATTTGTAAATTTAAATAATCAAAGTTTAAAATGTCATGCCGCTAGCTGCCACTGTGTCGCTTTACTACTAGTGTCATCCTAGAACTACTGTTGAGCGTAAAAAATGTTACAGTAGCAGGAAATAATAAATAGTTATTAACAAATTATGTATAGGATTGTAATTTTTTTTAAGTACTTTTTATGTCGGTAGACCATAACTTCCTTACTTCTACACCAATTTTCATAAATGAGATGTCTTTTTAAAGATTTTTTGATTTACTACCCGTTAAAAATATACAAATCACTCAATTTTAAGTTTAGTAGTTTTTTTGTAAAAACAATCTATTATATCATTCTGCAAGTGATTTAAACTTGGAATTTCTATTTACGTCATTTGATCAGCTGAATTGTGGGCTGAATTAAATTAATCAAAACAAACGAATATTTATTTCTCAAATCTGAGTGTTTTGTTTTTACTTCATCAATGGTGACCTACAACTTATTCTGTGCTCTCTACGATAAATAACTCCTAACTCCGTAGATTAAATCAGATTATTCACTTTAAAGAAGTCACAAGAACAAGTCAAAAGTAAATACCGCATAAATTCTTTAGGTTTTACATTTCTATATTTACGACATGGTCTTAATTTTGACATACAGTAGAACCTCTTTAATCCGAACTACTTGGACCGGGTGTAGTTCGGACTTTTGAATAGTTCGGATTACACTACATATTTTTTTTTTTACATAACAATAGCTAAAACGATGCTAAAATGGACCGTAATTGTTACAGGAAAAGTGAGAAGATGCTTTATAAAGTAAAATACAGTGTTAATTTAATACAGAAGTAAACATAGTGGATAAACAGTAAGTACATTAAATACAGTATACAATAAAGAACTACTGTACTGTGTGTGTATAGAGTACATCAATAAGGTGTTCGGATTAGTGTATGTTCGGATTACGGGGGTTCAGATTAAAGAGTTTCTACTGTGTACCTACCAACCATTCTATATATATTTAAGAATTCCATCTTCAAATATCACCTCTTATCTTTTTACTACAG